TCTAACTTTAAACTGGGGATAATAAATCCAGCCTGGGATACCACAGAAACTGTGAAGCACTGTGAAAAAGTAGTAATACGGGATTTCCCCACGGTCTGGGGGGGGGTGGGTGTTGAGGGGGGGATGGGTCGAGGTGGGTTGAGGTGAGGACAGGAGCACTCATGACTTTCAGAGGACTCACCCAGCGCGTTTACTCTAGTCTTTCCCCAGAGGCCCAGGCCGCAGAGTGGAGAATACCCATTAAGTATCAGAGTTATTTAAAAGCCAGCTGTCCGCCCCTCAGGAGCTGTGTGGCCTCTGCTGACTCAATGGAGAAAATGGATCTCTGGCCTATGGATTTTCCCACAGCACGTCTCACAGCAGTGGGGGGAGGGGAGTGAGAAATGGGAACAGCAAAGCCTGCAGTGGAGGTTTCCCCTCCTGCCAGGGCAGAAGCTACACCACAGGAGAGAACCTGGGGCCTCACCCGCTACCTAACGACTGAGCTCCATGCTGTCAGCCCTGCCCGGCTGCTCCTCCACTTGCCGCAAGGGCAGGGGGAGCAGAGGAAAGGGAGGCTGCTACAGCATCACCCTTAGGAGAGCCCCCAGACCATCCTACCACCACTTTCTAGTTGCAGTGGAGCCAAGTTCAAGGTTGAGCATTGAGAAGGTGGGGGTACCAACTCCGGGCAAATCACATTATTACCTCCCCTTCCATGACCCCCATTTGTAAAAGGCCAAGGGGCACTGAACTCAAAAGCTTTCCAAGACCATCTCTCTCTCTCTCTCTCTCTCATACACACACACACACACACACACACACACACACACACTTCTTTGCAGGCAGGGAAACAGATCTGGAAAGGTAGACTTGCCACAGACCTAAGAGACAAAATGGGGCGGGAGGCAGATGGGGAAGGGGCTACCTGCTGGCTGACCTCAGGAAAGTTGCCAGACTTCTCCAGGCTTCGCACCAAGGAAGTGGAGCTCATGGAGGGCAGAGTCTTTGTGGGGTGAGAAGAACCCCAGTGGAGGAGCTAGAGTAGGGGAAGAACAGCACCTGGGAATGCTGAGAGGGGATCTGGGGCATAGTAGGGTAATAAATTCAAGAATTGGGGTCCGGAGTATCTGGCATGGGGGATTCCCAATCCAGCACAGGGCAGACCGTAACTCTGCTTGGGTGGGGCTGGGGTGACTCACTTGCTGAGTCCTAAGGAAACCCTGAGGGCATGAGCCCTTCGCCCACGGGCTCCCCTGGGATCTGACCAAACCACACTCCCCAGGGAGCGCCTTGGATGGGGAGGGCTTGGGCAAAGGAGACAGCACGGGCTCCTGTCAGGCTCCAGTCAAGTCGACTTTGCAACCCTGGTGAAAAGCACTTAACCTTTCTGGGCAGTGTCTCCTGGTATAAAGTGTCGATGGAGGATCCATCTCCTCCAGCCTGCCTCACAGGGATGGGATGATCAAGCCAGAGATTTTTAAATCATTATTTCATTCAACAAATGTTCTCTAGTGCCTTCTCCATGCTGAGCTGTGCACTGGCAATACAGGAAATCAGACCAGTCCTGAGCCGCCGCTGCTGACAATCAGAGGGTGCAGGACAGCTCTAGTCCTCTGACCACTAAGTGAAATTCAAAGGAGAGAAGGAAGCCATGAAGGCTTCCTGGAGGGGGCAGAACTCAAGCTGAGCCCTGAGGGGCAGTGGTTTGGATCGGAAAAACAGTCAAGGGGAGAGAGGACCCCAGGTGTGAAAAACAGTCTGAGCAAAGATACTTCCACTGGATGCCTCAGGGAAGAAACACACAGCCTTGAATGCAATTGGACATTTATTGAATACCTCCTATGTGCCAAACACTGACAGCCCTAAGATGGACAGGGCTGTTCCTCCAGAGAACAGACTTGGCTCCAGGGGCAACCTAGACAGATAAGGGAACAAAGAGGGGAGGCGGGAAGGGGGCCAGGTAGAAGCATACAGAGAGACGGCAAGTGGCAATATTTTCTATACGCCATGAATATGCTGTGATGGGGAAGGAGGAAGATGGAACAAGGCAAAAACGACATGGCAGCTAATTAGTCCCAGAAAGAGGCAATGCCTCATCCAGAGCCACGTGGTGAAAGCATGGCAGGGTGGGTGCTAGCCCCCAGATCTTAGGCGCTATGGCTTTTCTTGTCTCAAAGCATTTTCCATTTACTTTATCTCAACAGCTTTCCGAGAACTAGGAAGGAGTTCAGAAGCCCACCTACTTTCCAGGAGTAGAAGCTGACAGCCCAGAGGTAGATAGAGGGCCACCCTAGCGTCTGTTCCTGGCCTCAAGCTCCCTGGGGTCAGGATGAGATTTCCCCGTGGTGCTGGACCCTCTCCGATGCAGCCACTACCTTGGACAAAGCCCTGGGCAAGGACCCTGGGGCCAGACTACCAGGAAAGCCCTGGCAACCACTGGCTTTGAGACAAGTTCCTGACTCTTTGACCTCAATTTCCCCACTTATAAAACACAATCATTGCCTTGTGCTCTGGTGCCTAATGGTTCTTAGTTCTCCTTGAGTCTTCTTTTCCTAGTCAAGGTGTGTAGCACTCCCCAGTCAAGGCTGCCTACTGCCCTGCAGCCTTTTCATGGGGGTGGGCATCAGCCAACCAGGAACTAATCACCATGGGGATCTGGGGAGAAGGCTCTTACCTTGGCAGTTAGACTGATTCCTCAGAGGCTGGAAGCAAAAGGGACTCTATGTAGCAGGACAGGGAAGCAGAGACCGTTTCATTCAGTCATTCATTCATCTACAAACATTTACTGTACACTGCCTTGTGCTAGTCCCTGTAGTAGAAACACTACAGTGAAGAGCCAGTGCCTCCCTCTGGGGGAAATGTCGGAGTTGGGGTTTGGGGCTGACATGGCCCAGGGTTGGGGGGAGTACAAGAGCTGAGTGAGGACCCAGCCCCAAAGGCTCTATGAGAAAAGACACCACAGTTGGTTAGCTCCACAGACCAAGGGCACAGTGGAGGGCGGGCAGGCCGGGGCTCAGTGTGTTGGCCAGTCTCTGGATGCGCACTTGCATGCATGGGTCTGTAGGCTTGCCCCTCCAAGAACACACCCAGGAACGTGCATGGGCCCAGAAGCATGAATGTGCTAATGAATCCATATACACATACCAGGATGCACTCAAATCTATGTTCATAAGTGCACATGTATGAATGAAGCTTCATGTACTTGCATGAGGCACATCTGAGCGTGTCTGGAACCCTGCTCAAGTTTATACAAGCCTTTCTATGCATGTGTATGCACATCCAAGTGAGTATGAATCTGTATGTACTCACACGTGGACCTCTCATGTACATATGTACAGACATGTTCAATCATGCATGTGCAAGTTACTGATCTCATTTGCCAATACCTGGGAGAGGGAAGGGCAAGCTACCCCCTTCCCCCCCTGCATCAGCAGCCCTGGTCCTTTACATTGGTCTTTGCCAAAGACCCAAGCCACAGCAGGGTCTGCCTCTTCTCCTTAAGTGGTATTGATCTGTTAAATATAACCTCGGGGAAGGAATCAACCCAACAACCATTGTCCCTAATTCAGGAGAAAGACTGACTGATTCTTAGGTGGGGGGAGCCTCTATCCCAACCAGCTCTGCTGATACCAGAATGGCCTTCAGGATCAAGTGTCAGTCTCTCCAGCCTGAATAATTCATGCCAAGGCCAGGAGCGCTCCCTTCTCAGGAGCCTGTTCCTTTAAGTCAGGTCTGGAGCTTCCCAGCTCTTTAAAAAAAAAAAAAAAAATCCATCCAAAACTAAACAAACCCATGAACAGCTCAGCCCTGACCCCCCTTAAGCTCCCCCAATCCCATGCTGCAAAATCTGCTCCTGTACTCCCAACCGCTGGAGCCCCAAACCCCCCACCCATTCCTTGTTTATAGGTGGGGTACCATGGAGGGAAGGAGGCGCAGTTGATGGTGTCCAACAACCCCAGGGTCCTGAGACCCAGTAGAACAGTCTCGTACAGCACCTCCCTAGGAGCTGGGGCAGGGAGGGGACAGCAAAGAGCTGAATCACCACACCCACTGGTCCCAAGGCCTAGCAGAGTGGTTGCAGGAGGAGTCCAGGCTGGTGGAGGAAACCAGATGAAAGAACTCCAGGCTCAGCAGCCAATGAATTGGGTGTGAGGGGTAAGCAGAGGGGGTGTCGCTCACTTTCGGAGGTGGGGTGGGATGGGGTCGAGGAAACGCTAGTCCCACCGGACTTGCAGTAGTGGTAACCCAGCCAGGCCTAATGTAACCGGGGTCGCAGTGGAGGGGTCCGGAAGCTGGGGATTTTCCAGTCTCTCTTTGCACAGCCCTCTCCTGGATCACAGAGATTAGGAAGAGGCTGAAAAATGAGTAACTTTCTCAGCCCACCCCTCATGACTGCCTGCCCTTGCAGAGAGGACGCTAAAGTCCTGCCCCCAAATTCTCACTCTGTGGTGCTAACCCACCTGCCTTCTCTCCTCAGTCAGGCCCAGCCCCACAGGTGCCATAGAGAAAGAATCCAGTTTAAACATGAGAAGTGGGGCAGATGAGGCAATGAGAACCTGGGAGAGCCAAACTTCTCAGCAGACCCGGAGCCCAAGACGGAGGAAGACAAAGCACAGCAGCCAAAAGCCCAGATTCTCGGTAGCCTACCACCCCGCCTCTCTGCGAGGAGGGCGCGGAGACTCCGCTGGGGGCGGAGGAGGAGGCCGGGAGGCGGGGAGGGGGGGGTAGGCAAACCCTGCCCACTCGGCTCCAAGCCCGGAACGGCCGCGGAAGCCGGAGGCCAGCGCGCAGGGCGAGTAGGGCACCGGGGGCGGGGGGCTGCTGCCCGCCTGACCCCTCTCGCCCCAGCCAGGAAAGGGAAGGCTCCTCGGATTTTAGAGTCAGTGGACGGACCGACCGCAACTGCCAGCATCTCCAGGTCAAGGACTTGCCCCACCCGCCCCCTTCCCCGCCCCCAAGGCGCTCCGAACTCACTGGTGAGCGCGGCGGCCCCGGCGCTGGATGCGGGGGCCGCTGCGATGGCCCCGCGCGCGGGACAGCTGGAGCCAAGGGGGCCGCTGCTACAGGGGGTGCTGCTCGTGGCGGCGGCGCTGAGCCAGCCCGCTGCGCCCTGTCCCTTCCAGTGCTACTGCTTCGGCGGCCCCAAGCTGCTGTTGCGCTGCGCGTCGGGTGCTGAGCTCCGGCAACCGCCACGGGACGTGCCGCCCGACGCGCGCAACCTCACCATCGTGGGCGCCAACCTGACGGTGCTGCGCGCGGCCGCCTTCGCAGGCAGAGACGCGGACGGGGAGGAGGTGGCGGCGGACGGCGTGCGCTTGCCGCTACTGACCGCTCTGCGCCTCACCCACAACAACATCGAGGTGGTGGAGGACGGCGCCTTCGACGGGCTGCCTAGTCTGGCGGCGCTCGACCTGAGCCACAACCCGCTGCGCTCCCTGGGCGCCGGCGCTTTCCGCGGGCTGCCGACGCTACGCTCGCTGAAGCTCAACCACGCGCTGATGAGGGGCGGCCCCGCGCTGCTGGCCGCGCTGGACGCCGCGCTCGCCCCGCTTACAGAGCTGCGCCTCCTGGGCCTGGCGGACAACGCACTGAGCCGCCTGCCGCCTGCCGCGCTTCGCCTGCCGCGCCTCGAGCAGCTGGACGCGCGCCTCAACGCGCTGGCCGGCCTGGGCCCCGACGACCTGCGCGCGATTGAGCGCGATGGCGGCCTGCCCGCGCCGCGCCTGCTGCTTGCCGACAACCCACTGCGCTGCGACTGTGCCGCGCGCCCTCTGCTGGCCTGGCTGCGTAACGCCACGGAGCGCGTCCCCGACGCGCGGCGCCTGCGATGCACCGCCCCGCGGCTGCTGCACGACCGGCCTCTTCTGGACCTGGACGAGGCGCGGCTGCGCTGCGCCGACCGCGACGCCGAAGGTCGCGGGGAAGAAGTAGAACTCACCGGCCCGGAGCTGGAAGCCTCCTATGTCTTCTTCGGGCTGGTGCTGGCGCTCATCGGCCTCATCTTCTTAATGGTGCTCTACCTAAACCGCCGCGGCATCCAGCGCTGGATGCGCAACTTGCGCGAGGCCTGCCGGGACCAGATGGAGGGCTACCACTACCGCTACGAACAGGATGCCGACCCGCGCCGCGCGCCTGCCCCAGCCGCCCCCGCCGGCTCCCGCGCCACTTCCCCGAGTTCAGGCCTCTGAGCTTCGCCCGTTGGCGGTTGGTGGTGCCCCTGCCAGCTGATGACTTTACTGGGGCTACCTGGCCTGAAGCAGTGGGTATGAGATACCCGCGAGCTTGGGGCTTTTGAGACTTGCCGCTGGCTGACCTCAGACCTTTGGATTTTGGCATCACCCCGGCCTCTCCCCACACACACACAGCTAGAAATCCCAAGCTGTACCCCCTTTTTCCCAGACTCTGTGGCTCTCACCATCAAACATCCAGAGAAACCCCCTGCTGATTCCAGAAACCCTACCCACCCATCCCAGGCTCCAGACCCATCAGCTCCCCTTGTCCCCTTTTAAGACTCACCCAGAGACCTTATCCTAAAACCCAAAAGCCCTGAGATTGCCTCCACCACCCTGTTCCTTGAGCCCTGACTCTTAGCGGCAAGCATCACCCTAGACTTCAGGAACCCCCATCTCCAGCCTGGAGCCCTCACTTTCCTCCCCAAAGCTCAGGCCCTCACATCCCATTCTGGCCTCAGAGGCAGAGAACTCCCATGAAAAGGTTTTTGTGGACTTCGAGCCTTTTTCCTCGTACCAGAGCTCTGAGCCCTCCATCCTACAAGACACCCACATCCTGGGGCTCTAAGGGTTGGGCACTCACCCCTGGTCAGAGGGTCTATTTCATACCACCCACCACCCCAGCTCTGGTGCAGGCCCCTCCCTTCTTTGGCCCCTGCTTGGGGCTCAGCTCCCTTGGTCTCTCCCATACCAGAGACAGGCGCACATTATATAGCCTTAGTGTGGAACCAATCCCCAACCTTTCCCGCCTGGCCTCTGATCCCCCACTACTCAGTGTTTACCCCAGTCTCAAACTTAGCTCTTCACCCTGGTCTGAGTTACAACCCCTGCCCAAGTCTTAGGCTCTTGAGTCCACCCACCCCCATAGCTTACACTCAGTACCCACCCCTCTCACTCACTACTAGGTCAGGGTCCAATGAGGAACCCATCCCTGGAATGTGCCCACCCTTTTTACCTCTAAAGTGAGCTCTCCAGCCCTGCAAGACAGGTGCAGGCGCAACACACCCCCAGCCATATTGGTGGGTCCCCCGGAGGAAGGAGAGTCCTGGGAGTGTAAAGTTGGGCCTCAGAACCAGGGTCGCACACCCACCATGGCCTCGGCGAGGGGTAAGGAAGGAGGCCCTGCAGGGCTGGGAGCTGCTGCCCACAGGCCGCTTCCCACCCATGTGACTCTTCTCCCCTAAGGATTTCTTGCTGCCATGTTCCCCGCCCCCCATGCCTTCTGGAAGAAGAAGGGGGTCTCACCTCCTGTCTCAGGCACAAGCCCTTTTTGTTCAGGGTCAGAGCTTCAGCGACCTGCCTTCTGCATGATCCCAAAGCACAATTGGTGAGTGGGGAGGGCGTGCCTCTCTCTGACTCCCACCCCTTGGTCAGGCAGAATGGCTGGTCTGTGCTGCTTCTGCACACAGGAAGTCACCTCCTTCAATGTACTGGTTTGAGGCCTGCCTTCTCACCCCTACCCAGGAAATCTGGATGTCCCTTGGGCAGTTTTCTATAAAGTCTGCAATAATCTGTGATTCTCTGCTCTTGTAAGCCATGCCACATCATTCCTGCTGCCCTTGGGGCATTGCAGTGGTTGGTGGGGACACTTGGGTGGGCATTTTGGACCTCCCTGAGGTGCTGTGACCCTTGGTGCCTTCTCCTGGACTACAGGAAAAGAAACGGGCTCTGACTGCACATAGTAGGGTGGAGGCTAGACCCATAGACTTCCCACTGGGACGGCATTACTCTCCAAACTGGGCTGCTGTTTATCCTCTGAGATGAGGTTATGCACAGCCAGGGTGGGGGCCTGTGCTTCCTCTGCATCCTCTTACCCTTCCATTCGTCATCACGGTGTCAGGGGCGGGGGTTGTGGGGGAGATGGAGTTGAACTGACAAATGCTAGCATCACGCAAGGCTACCAGGGAAGAAATCCAGCCACAGAGAACTGAGACAGTTAATTCAGACAAGAAAAAGGATGGATCATTATTTGCTGCTTTGGTATCAATCCCTCTGACGAATTATCTGATACTCCCTTTATTCTTTGTCATACTACTATCTCCTGGCTAGAGATGTGAGAGCTGCCCCCTTGGGTATGTGAGAGGCTGAGAAGAGAAGCAGCCTAGAGGTGGGGGTGGATAAAGTGGCTCCTTGAGGTACGTGGAACAAGGAGGCAGCTGGGGCCCGGGCCAGTGGGGCCAGGCTAAGGGGCTCATCTCCTGCCTCAAGTTCCCCAGACTGGGTTATTTCACATCGAGGATCTCAGAGCCCTGGGACCATGGGGTGGAAGCCCAGAACTCTGGCATTTCAGAATTTTAGGGCACATCATCCTAGAATTTGTGCCTTCTAAATATTGAAAAGGTCCTCAGAGGTAACGTGGGAGCCATCTCCCAAGCCATCTCAGTGAGGAGCACCCTCTCTCAAAAAGGTGCTCACTCCCTCTCTTCCTGGGAACATCTGTTTCAGCACCAGAGGAACCTGCCTGGGACTTCCTGTCAGTCCAGCCCCAGCTTTGCCTTGGGACCCCGAGCATAGCTCACCCCAGGCTCTTCGCAGAGTCGGAGCCAGTGCATGAGGCCTATCTTCTCCTAGCAATTCCCCTACCCTAGTCATTGCCCATGAGAAAGGATCAAAGTCTCTGGAAACATGCCCATCTGTCAGTGACCTTCAAAGGGTGCTTTGACAATCCTCCAGGACAAAGTAGTAGTTGTGTCTCTAACATGGTTAGAGAACTGTCTTTAACAGGCCACCTCCCCAGTTTCAAAGACGTGCCCTCTGATGATACAGCCAAAGACTGCAATAAGCTCTGGCAAATAAAACATGCTATTAGTTCTGGGTCCGTTGTCAGCAAAAATCTTTGAGGGTTTTATATGAGAGCGGCTACTAAGCAAAATATCAAATCAATAGTTGTCAAAAATCAAGTGACTGAGTGCTTCATGTATGCCAGTTGATACTTAACCTTAGTGCTCATTAAATGTTGCCTGGGGGCCGCCACCCTTTTGCAGCCTGTTAATGGCCTGTGGTCTTACGGGACTATCAATAGGTCCCCAGGGCCCCCAGCCTTGCTTCCTCTGCAAAACCAGCCACTCACTCAGCCTCTACTGAATACAACTTTTCCAGTCCCAGAGAAGCTAAAGACCCAGGGGAGGAGTCATATTTAATCAAGGGTTAGAGAAAAGAAGTCCCAGGGACCTGAAAATATAGAGTCAGGACCCCTGACCCAGCCTAGGGAGACTTCCTAAAAAGTCACATTTGAATGGGGTTTTAAAGAATGAGTAGGAGTTTACAGAACAGAGAAAGATCAAAAGCTGTCAGCTTGTGCACAGGCCTGCAGGCAGGAGGGTCTTGTAGAGGATGGGAGAAGACCATTCATGGCTGGGAGTGTGCAGGAGGATGTACGAGGGCAAGACAGATCTGCCTCCCCTGCATTCGCTACTGGGCGCCTGTAGAGGGACCTCCACCTTCAGAGAAGTCAGGGAAGTGGTGAGGTATAATGTGAAGGACAGGAGAACAGCATGGTACCCCTTACTTGTTCCTTCCTCCTGCCCATCCTTTTCCTGCCATGCTGGGCACCGGAACATAGAGAGGAACCATAACTAAGCTGTGCCTACAGGGGGCCAGATGGGCAAAGGGGTAAGGGAAGGGGCGTCCGGAGGAGCCCACAAGAGACCTTATAGGAAGAGGTGAGATGGAGGGATCCAGCCGGCCCTGCCCTGACACCCTGATGCTGCCCACCCCCTCCTGGCCCTCAGCAGCGCCAGGGCCCCACCGCAAGGCCAGCCGCCCCCTTTAATCATACACCGGGAATGCTGCTAGAAGGCTGAGGCGGGCAAGAGACTGCAGCGGCCAAGTGCCAGGGAGAAAATTCCATCCAGGGTGTCCCCTAGAGAGCGGCAGAGAGCAGGAGAGGGAGAGAAAAGGTGTGTCACTGTCAGAAATGTGATAGACGTGAGACCTGCTTTGCACTTTGAGAAACGCGTCACTCCCCAGAATTCTGTGACCCTGTAAAGATTGTGCAACTTCCTCTCAAAAACAAAGGGAGCCATCTCCTTGAGAAGTTATTTCTGTGACCTCTTCCTCCCCACACCCCTCCGTGAGGGCCCGGCTACAGCCCAGAGGACAAGGTTTCAGTCCGAGCTCGGCATGACTTGCCAAGTCATTGGGTCCTGATTCAGAAATACTGGTTGAGAGCTCACCGTGTGCTGGGTGCTGGGGATTCAGCAGTGAACGCGGCAGCACCGGCTCCTGCCATCCTGGCCCAGTCTGACACTGACCTTGGGCAGCCCTGCCTGTCTCTGGCTCCAGGTCCCCTCTGTCCAGGCTGGGGCTGGACTGGTGACCTCCGGAGGCACTGCCTGCCCTCACTGGAGTCCATCTCCTTCTTCATTAAGTCTCTGCCTGGAAAACTCACAGCCCTAATGTATGGGCATGGCCTTTCCCAGACCGGGAGAAGGGGCAGGGGCAGTTAATATTCCTGCGGCAATGCACTTGGCTCCTTCAGAGCCACCTCCTCCACCCCCTCACCTCTCCCTCACCGCCCATGCCCCCCGCCCCAGGGCTGCCTCAGGGCAATTTATCCAGGCCTGGCCAGTCCCACGCAGACCACCTCAACTAGCCCATTGTTGTACTGGTGGGGAAACTGAAGCCCAGAAAGCCTGGCAGCCCTCCTTCAGGTCACACAAGGCAGATCCAGAGCCCAGGGTGCACCCTGGGGGCATCCCTGCTCTGCTCTGGATCTGACTCTGACCCATGGCTGCCCCACCTCCAACCTCTGCATCTCCGCCCCTGTGCTCATGGCCGCCTGCAGCCAGACCCACGCCTGTGGTGGCCTGGAGATAGAAAAAGGACGTGAACAAGGAAGGCGTGGAGAGGACTCTTCAGCCTCCACTGGCAGCCAGCAGCAGGCCTCAGAAACCCACTCCAGCCTCCTGCAGGCAGAAGCCCTGCTGGGAAGTCCTTCTTGATGGTCCCAGGCATGA